ACACACACACACACACACACACACACACACACACACACCGACAGACCCTAAATTCTGATGAGGGGGAGGAATATGAAAAAGTGGTGGGGCCCTAAACTAGACACACAGAGCTGCAAGGGGAGGGGGCTGGGGCAGGGGGGCAGGGCTGCATGCGGGAAGAAGGGGTGAAGCGAGGCATGGCCGGGCAGTGGGAGAGGGGCCTGCGAGGATTTCGTACGTGGGTGAGCCAAATCTAAATCGTCGTTTTCCTATTTGGTGGAAAGCTCTCCAGCAGCCAGGGAGCCGCATGTGACGGAGGCACTGCGGGGGCAGCACACTCGGGGACACAAACAGGCGCTCCCGCTGGCACACCCCCCAACAGGCTGAGAGGCACCCTGGGGCAAGGGGCCAGCCAGCTACAGACTGCCTGCCCCCTCCCCTCACCCAGCCAGACCCTCATCGTTCCAGTCTGCCTCCCCTGGGGAGAGCTGGGTCCAGGAAGCTCAGTCCATGCTCTGCAGGCTGTGCTAGAGGTGGGGGTCCTGGTAGCCCACAAAGGCTGAAGCCAGTCCTGCAAGAAGCCGGTGCAGACAAGGGGAGCAGAGGGTGGGCTTGGGGAAGCCAGAGAGACATGTGAGGGGGCACTTCTAGGATGAAAGAAACTAGGACGTGAAAGTTGACTTCCTCAGGCAGAGTCATTCAATGAGCGGGGAGAAAGTGGCTGAAGGTGGGAGTTACTGAGGGGCTGTGCTCCTGGAAATGCATGTTGGGGATCCTAACCTCTGAGCATGTGCATAGGAGGCCTGGTGTTAAAATCATGAAGGATTCAGCTTGTAACTGAAAGGTTGGGAGTTCGAACCCTCCAGTGGCTCCAAGAGAGGAAAGGGCAATCAGTCTGCTCCGGTAGGATTTCAAAACCCCAAACCCAAAGCTACCACCGTCTGTCTATCCTACTGTGACCCTGTGGGACAGAGCAGAAATCGTCCACAGGATTTTCAAGGCTGTAAATCCCTCCAGAAGTGGACAGCCACGTCTTTCTCCCGCAGAGCCGCTGCCAGAGCCCACCTTCTGACCTTTAGGCTGGCAGTCACCAGCCTTCCTCCAGGAAACTCTGTCACTCTGTCATGTGAGACACAGCACACAGCAACATCTGGGAACAGGGATTTTTTTTTATTTATTTTTTTTGTCATGCTAATGAGGCTGTTTCTGTGAGGCCTTTCTGTGCAGGGTGGATCCGAAGCCAATTACTTTTGAGGTATAAAAGGAGCAGCTTGGGCACAAAAGCAAGTACAGATGGGGGAAGATAGATGCCTCGCCACGTGAAGACTGTCAAGGAACCCCGAAGCTGAGGGGAGGCGAGGCCCTTCCCCCAGAGCCAACAGAGCTGATGCGCTGCATTTCTGATCTCAGAAACTGTGAGAAAATAAATGTCTGTTTATCAAAGCTGCCCGCTTGTGACACTTCTGTTACAGCAGCATTAAGAAACTAAGACTGGAGACGGAAGCAGAGAACGCCTAAGCCAGTACCTCCCAGCACAGGACATGGGCACTGGAGTCTGACACACTTGAACTCACGCCTGGAAACCAGCCTGGCCTGGCCTGGGACAAGAGTCACTGTCTCTCTGGGCCTCAGTTTCCTCACTCATGAAATGGGTATAAACCCATCTCACCGGCCTCGTATAGATTGGTAATCACTGGTTAGCAGTGGAGGCCTTGAGCCTCACCTTGAACCGGCCAAGGCTTTCATTTTACTTGGATCCACAGTCGTCACCCATAGAAGCAGCAGTCAAGAACTAACATTGCACTGACGTGCTGCGGAAGATCTCTGTAAAGTGCTCAAAAGCGAAGACAGCACCTTGAGGACTGCAGTGTGCTTGACTCAAGCCGTAGTGTCTCCAGTCACCTCATATGCATTTGAGAGCTGGACAATGAACAAGGAAGACCCCCCCCAAAAAAAGAAGAAAAAGAATCTGTGCCTTTGCAAAGCAGTGTTGGTGAGGAATCCCGAAGACACTGTGGACTGGCTGAAGAACGAATAAATATGTTACTATTGGAAAATGCTTGTCATTCCTCTGTAACGTCTGGTCCCCACTGGACCCTCATCATTTCCTTCACCTGCTCCCCCCACCGACCAAACTGTGCAGCTCTGCAACTGCATCCCTGCCCATCCTCACCCTTCTGCCCACAACCCTCACCTCCTTGTACCCCCAATATATTTTTCCCAATAAAAAAAAAGAATGAATAAATGTGTGTTGGAAGAATTTCAGCAAGACTGCCGCTTAGAAATGAATACAGTGAGACTTTGTGTCATGTACTTAGGACATGCTTCCCGCAGGGACAGTCCCCAGAGAAGGACATTGTGGCAAAGTAAAGAGGGTCAGGGAAAAAGAAGAAAACCCTTAAGAGTGACTGACACTGTGGCTGCAAAAATGGACTCAAACATGGCCACCGGGGTGAGAAGGGCACAAGACAGTGCACTGTTTCCTTCCTGTCGTCCACAGGATCCTGATGTGACCAGACACTTCACAGGACCTGCACAAGCCCCAGTTCGCACCATCCTGTGAATAAAAAACTCAGCCTCGGTCAGTCTCAGTGACTCGCCCAAGGTCATATCACAACCGTGTGACAAGCCCCAGCCCTTGACCCCACACAGTGGAGGGGGCACATTGGAGGCACTGAGCACACACCTGGCACCAGGGAGCACTAGCCCACAGGGAGTTAAGCTGCTAGCTCAAAGGCAACCCAACCCCTCTCCGGTGGTGCCAATCCACCAGCTTCTCTGTGGACGTAAGATGGGCCATCTCCTCCCCTGCAATCTACAGCCTCTGAAAATCCAATGGGGGGTGGGGGGGGGTTCAACTATGAATTGGTTCCTATAACGAGTTTCAGGGAGCACCAGGCAGATGGGATGCCTCATCTCCAGTCTGAATGCTGACATTACAGGCAGACTGGACTCACTTTGAAGGCTTCCCCTAAAGGGAAATCAGTCGAGACAACAAGGATTCTGTAGCCTCCTGATTATTGACACACGTTCCCTATTGATCAACAACATCACTGCTGGCTACCACGCCAGGGACCTTCTAGCTGTCGAGGGCCAGCCTCGTCCATAGTCTCAAAAAACA